ATCCTTATTATGTGAGAAAACCTTTCACAATCATGTTTGTATGTGTTTTTGAGAATGTCCTTTCAATAACACAACAACAACATCATCATTGATACTTTACTCTCAAAGGATCCTTAAAACATACTTATACGTTTCATAAAAACATGCATAATCTCATACTTTTCCCTTTCAAGGTTCAAAGCCTACTTTCAATCACCACATCTTGAAATCAAGGATTAGATAGGGATTTCATCATAAATTCATCTCATTCTATCACTTCAAGCTTTATTTCATAAACTCCTCTTTCATAATCAAAACCCACATCGTATGACCATAATTTGGAAAACATGGGATTTACATGGGTTCATAGGGGAAACATCATAAAATCATTATAAATAATCAATTCATGCATAAGAGATCACAATTCAATCATTTAAATCAATAATCAAAAGAACCCATGGTAATTGAAGAAACCGTTAACTCAATTGGGGATTTTTACCTTTGAAAATAGGAGAAGCTGGGAACTCCATGGATGAAAGGAATCCATGGATGAAAACTATCACACCTCTAGTCCTAATGCTTATATTTAATGGAGGAATTGAGACTTTGTCTTGAAACCCTAGGTGAATCCTTCTTCTTCTTCAAGTTCTAGAGAGAGAAATATTTGAGAGTTTTTCTTTTTGGTGAGTTTGGAGAGAATGATTTCTATTGGGAAATTTGGGGGTAAAAATTCTTATATAGGGGTTTTAGACTTAGGTAAAACGACATAGTAGTAGGCCAGATTAATTAGGAAAAGACCCAACCAACCCTAAAACTTAATTGCTAGCTCTGACCCATGATCACTATCGACAGACCATGGTCAGGACGACGGACTTTCTTGCACAACCATCGATGGTGGTAAGAAACATGAATCTTGGCCAGTGAACCACGGACCGTGGTCTGGCCTACGGTACGTAGGTCAGGCCGTGGTCCTGAGCCTTTATTGACTTGGCAGGGTGGCCAATCCACAGACCACAGTACAGTTTGTGGTCCTACCCATGAGCTATGGTTAGCTTCCGTGGCTGGCACCTGCAACTGTCCAAAAGTTTTTTCATTTCCCTTTTTTGGATACGGGGTGTTACAATATCTCCCCCTTGAGAACATTTATCCTCGAATGGGATTTTAGACACCTATTAAGAGGAAAGACTCAATACTAGCAGCCCATCATGCATGCAATCTCATCAAAATGAACATAACCAAGGAGGAAACATCGACTCCAAGCTAAACATACTCAATGCATCATAAGGAAAGTAGGAACTAGACCTAGCAAACCAATATGCATGAAATTTCATATTTCTCATATTCAAGGAGGAACTACCTTCTCCAACCTGAAAGCATGCTCAACACAATCTCATGGAGACTTTATGCAATTCATACTCAATAGCATAGCTAAAGCATGTTCAACAATTCAACTCATGAAGTCTATATGCAACTCATACTCAATGCACAACAACATGAGAAAAATCAATCACATAAACTCATTTTCTTTCAAAACACAAGTTTTTCATGAACATGCATAATATAAGAAAATCATGGGAATAGCTAGAACACACATGACTGCAAAACAAAGAACAAACCATGAGGAACTCATTACCTCGAGCTAGAGTAGGAGTAGAATGAAAGAGATGAGGATATCGGGACATCATATCGGCCTTGGCCTCCTAAGTAGCGCCGTCAACTAAATGATTTCTCTATAACACTTTCACGGAAGCAACCTCTTTGTTCCTCAACTTCTTGACTTGCCGGTCTAAAATCTCAACCGAAACCTTATCATAAGAGAGATTCTCCTTAACTCCCAAACCCTCTAAAGGAATTATGGATGTCGGATCAACAGCACATTTCTTCAACATGAAGACATGGAAAATCGGATGCACCAATGCCAACTCATTAGGCAAATCAAGTTCATAAGAAACCTTACCAACACGTCTCAAAATCTCATATGGGCCTACAAAACGGGGACTAAGCTTCCCTTTCTTACCAAACCTCATTACACCCTTCATTGGTAAGATTTTCAAGTAAACCCAATCATGAACCTCAAATTCAAGATCCCTTCTTCTAACATCGGCAAATGACTTTTGTCGACTTTGAGCCATTTTCAACCTTTCTCTAATAAGTTGAACCTTCTTTATAGCCTCGTGAACTAACTCAGGACCTATCAAAGCAACTTCACCCACCTCAAACTAATCTATATGAGATCTAGCACTCTTACCATAAAGAGCCTAAAATGGAGCCATACCAATACTCGAGTGATAGCTATTATTATAGGCAAATTCAATCAATGGCAAATGGTCATCCCAATTGCCCTTAAAATAAATCACCTAAGCTTTCAACATATCTTCCAAAGTTTGGATAGTACTCTCCGCTTTCTCATCGGTTTGGGGATGGAAAAGTTGTACTAAGCTTAACCTTAGTGCCAAGTCCCTTTTGGAAAGACTTCCAAAACTGAGAAGTGAATTGAGTACCACGATCGGAAATAATGGACAAGGGAACTCCATGCAACCTTACCATTTCTCTCAAATACAATTTGGCATATTCTTCCACCGAATAGGAAACCTTAACAGGAATAAAATGAGCTGATTTCGTCATCCGATCTACTATAACCCAAATTGAGTCATGTTGTCGCCTAGTGCGGGGAAACCCCACTATGAAGTCCATATTCAAATCTCCCTACTTCCAATTAGGAATACCAATGTCTTGGGACAAACTTCCCGGTCTTTGATGCTCAACTTTCACTTGTTGACAATTAGGAAACTTAGCCACAAATTCCGTAATATCTTTCTTCATCCTATTCCACCAATACATCTCCTAAAAATCACGGAACATCTTGGTGGCTCTCGAGTGAATGGAATACCAAGAACTGTGGGCTTCTGACAAAATCTATTCCCTCAAGTCATCAACATTTGGAACACTCAAACAACTTTGATATCTAAGGACACCATCTCCCCATTGGGAGAAAGCCTCAACGAATTTCTTAAGTACCGCTTCTTCCAAGTCAACCAAAATTAGATCAAGACCTGCTTAACTTTCACATCCGCCAAAAAAGACGATTCTGCACCATTATGAACCATAACACCACCGTTGGTAGATTCTACTAATTGAACTCCCAATCGGGAGAATCTATGAACATTCTGTACCAACTCTTTCCTATTATCATCAATATGAGCCACACTACCCATAGATATCCGACTAAGAGCATCTGCCACCATATTCGCCTTATCGGGGTTATAGAGAACACTCATGTCATAATCCGTCAATATCTCAAGCCACCTTTTTTGGCGAAGATTCAAGTTCTTTTGGTTGAACACATATTGCAAACTCTTATGGTTAGTGAAAACATCAACATGAACTCCATACAAATAATGCCTCCAAATCTTTAAGGCAAAAATAACCGCCGCTAATTCTAGGTCATGGGTAGGATAATTCTTCTCATGGAACATAAGTTGCCTTGAATCATAGGCATTAACTTTACCATTTTGCATAAGCACACATCCCAACCCAATCCTAGAGGCATCACAATACACCACAAAACCATCCGTACCGTCCGGTAAAGTCAACATCGGAGCGGAAATAAGTCTATCTTTCAACTCTTGGAAAATCTTCTCACAAGCTTCAGACCATATGAACTTAGCCTTCTTTTGAGTCAAAGTCATCAAAGCAGAGGCAATGGAAGAAAATCCCTCAACAAACCTTCTATAGTAAACGGCCAAACCCAAGAAGCTTCTAATATCCAAAGGGGTTAGAGGTCTAGGCCAACTCTTGACTGCATCTGTCTTTTTTGGATCTACCTCAATACCCTCACTTGCAATAGTATGACCAAGAAAAGTTATGGACCTTAACCAAAATTCACATTTGCTAAACTTCGCAAAGAGTTGTTGGTCCTTGAGAACTTGTAACACAATCCTCAAATGATCCATATGCTTATCCTCACTTCTCGAGTAAATCAATATATCATCAATAAACACAATTACGAACATATCAAGGTATTCTAACGCCCTATATATCAAATCCATAAATGTCGCCGGAGCATTAGTCAAACCAAACGACATTACCAAAAACTTATAATGACCATATCAGGTTCTAAAAGATGTTTTCGGAATATCATCTTCCTTCACCCTCAATTGGTGATAACCCAATCGAAGATCAATCTTAGAGAACTTGCTCCTTGAAGTTAGTCAAACAAATCATCTATCCTTGGAAGAGGATACTTATTCTTAATAGTCCCCTTGTTCAACTAACGATTATCAATACACATACGAAGACAACCATCCTTCTTTCTAACAAACAAAACTGGAGCATCCCATGAAGAGATACTCGATCGGATGAAACACTTATCTAATAAGTCTTTCAATTGTTGTTTTAACTCCTTTAGTTCTGTCATAGCCATTCTATAAGGAGGAATAGAAATAGGTTGCGTATCTGGAAAAAGGTCAATGGGGACCGACTCAAGAGTAGGGTTTTCAAAATCTACATCCCTCACCCTAACAAGATGGTAAATGCAACCCTTAGAAATCATCTTTCTAGCTTTAAGATAAGAGACAAATTGACCCTTAGGCATAGAATTTCCCCCCTTCAACTCTAGGATAGGCTCATTTGGAAACTGAAACGTGACTACACGAGTTCTACAATTAATAGAAGTATAACAAGAGTGCAACCAATCCATACCAAGGATAACATCAAAGTCTAACATATCAAGATCTACCAAATCAACAAGAATAACTCTATGGGACAAGGAGACGAAGCACCTTCTATAGACCTTCCTAGCCAAAATAGAATCACCAACAGGGGGTAGAAACAGAAAAGCATTCTAACAACACATTCGGAAGAACATCAAACCTCATAGTCACATATGGTGTCACAAAAGACAAGGTAGCACCGGGATCAAGTAAAGCATATATATCAAGTTGGAAAACTTTCAACATACCGATAACTATATCCGGAGAACCCTCTTGGTCACCACGAGTCTGGAGTACATATAAACAGTTTTACTTGGGAGCATTGGAACCCGAACCACTAGCAGGAGCTTGCTTTCCCTCTCTTCCCTTAGCCATAAGCATTGGACAATCCCTCATCTTATGACCACTCTTACCACAACTAAAGAAATCATCCGTGCCGGCTAGACACTTATCATCATGCTTCTTGCTACACTTAACACAAGTAGACCTAGGCAATGAAGATCCACCATTATTCCCTCCTTGAGGTTTAGGGTTATACACCCTCTCTTTGTTGAACTTAGAAGGGGCATTATAGGAACCTTGACCGGAACACCCTTGTCAATATCTAGGATGACCATATGCATCGGACCTTGCATGTGAGAAATTACCAAAACTGGTTTTAGCCCTCTTTGTTACCCTTGACCTTTCTTTAAGTTTCTCCTCTTCGATTTGTTGTGCATGAACCATGAGACGAGAGATGTCCATGTCATTGATGATCATGGCGGTACGACACTCTTTAACCACCATTTCGGACACACCCAAAACAAAATTACTCATCTTGGACCTTGAATCGGCAACCATTGCTGGAGCATATTTAGACAATTAAGTGAACTTCAAAGCATATTCCCTCACACTCATACTTCCTTGACGAAGATTGATGAACTCAAGCACTTTTGGTTCCCTCATCTCAAGGGGAAAGAACTTATCAAGAAATGCAGTCTTAAATTTCTCCCAATCAAGAGGACCCACATCTTCTAGTCTCCCTTCCTTCCATTGGTTATACCAAATTTAAGATAGAAATTTTCGTTGATAAGCGGCTAACTCCGCCTTTTCTACCGGCGTAACTCCCATATCATCAAAACCCTATAGACCTCATCAATAAACTCTTGAGGATCTTCCTCAACCTTAAAACCATGAAACTCTATAGGATTCATCCTTGTGAAGTCCCTCAATCTAGAAGCCGCCATACACACATTTAGGTTCACAGGAAATACAATCTCCCTACAGGCTTGAGCCAATACTTGAAAAGCAGCCCTAAACTCCACATTAGATACTTGTTCGGCCAAAGGATTGATCGGAGCTTGAGCAGCTTTAGGAGGGGCTTCTTGTTCCGCATTCTCTCTCACATTCCTTCTAGTATAAGCCCTTCGAGTAGACATATCTTATAGACCATCGGATAAGGATTAGGAGAGAGACTTTATAGAGTTAAACTCTATCGCACGACTTAAGTGGAGTTTTCTAAACATCTTGTAGCCTCTCATTCATAAATGTGGCGCGCTTCACACTCATGAACAAGACTCTACTAGACGTGGCTTATGAGACATCCTAGGACATTCTAAACCTTGTGCTCTGATTACCAAGTTTGTCACGACCCAGGGGTACACCCTAGATGTAACATGGCGTACAAGAACCCTAAAGGCCCCATACAAGCTACTTACCATTCAAAAAATAAGAAATAGAACAATGGAAGTAAAACAATATTTCAAGTCCAAACATTTTTATAAAAGAAAGTAGAAGTCTATACTCGTTTTCTAATCATAGCCATCTAATACAATAAAATGAAATTGGGACTAGCCCATACATCATATACAAAAGTGAAATACAAGAAAGACACTAAAACAATAAAATTTGTCCTTGAAGCATAAGGACTCACCAAAGCCTGAGAAATCGACCAAGCCAACCTCTAGCCACGAAACTGAGAACCCTAAATATCAGACCCTATATTTGGGAAAAATGTAGGCAAGAGTATGCATTAGTACAAAACAAAATGCCAATTATGATAGCCATGCATAAAACATTTAAAACATGCAAAAAGAGACATTTCATTTCATGACATGCAATGGACCAAGTTAAAACATAATGTTAGAAGGTTAGAAAACATACTTCATAAAATATGGTCAATGCAAGCCAGCATCTTTAAGTTCTTTGAACACATGTGAGATACTCCTTGAGTAACCTTAGTTCATTATTAATGTGGGGAATTAGCATTAACCAGCATAGAGACCATGTGAGCTATAACATGATCCCTCGATAAGGACCATGAACTTCTAGCTTAAGTGGATCCACTAGCTAATGTTTATCTAGACAATCATCCTATGGGGACACATAGGTAAGGGATAAGGAGATTACTACTAGAAATCTGACCTCTACTAATGGGAGAGCTCCCATCTCAATATCCTCTCAACGTTAAGCATAAATCCCACGGAATAGTATTTTCTTACTTATTCTCATTATTCATGGAAGGCATGTCATCTTGCCAATCCAAGCTAAGTTCATTAGGATAACTCTTTGTCTTTGATTCATTTAGGTGAGAAACCCTTTAAACCTTAGAATCCTTATTATGTGAGAAAATCTTTCGCAATCATGTTTGTATGTGTTTATGAGAATGTCCTTTCAACAACATCATCATTGATACTTTACTCTCAAAGCATCCTTAAAACATTTACATAAGTTTCTTAAAAACATGCATAATCTCATACTTTTCCCTTTCAGGGTTCAAAGCCTACTTTCAATCACCAAATCTATAAATCAAGGATTAAATAGGGATTTCATCATAAATTCATGTGATTTTATCACTTCATGCTTTATTTCATAAACTCCTCTTTTATAATCAAAAACCCACATCGTATGATCATAATTTGAAAAACATGGGGGTTTACGTGGCTTCATAGGGGAAACATCATAAAATCATGGTAAATCATCAATTCATGCATAAGAGATCATAATTCAATCATTTAAATCAATAATCAAGAGAACCCATGGTAATTAAAGAAAACCCTAACTCAGTTGGGGATTTCTACCTTTGAAAATAGGAGAAGTTGGGAACTCCATGGATGAAAACTATTATACCTCAAGTCCTAATGCTTATATTCAATGGAGGAATTGAGACTTTGCTTTGAAACCCTAGGTGAATCCTTCCTCTTCTTCAACAAGTTCTAAAGGGAGAAATATTTCAGAGTTCTTATTTTTGGTGAGTTTGGAGAGAATGATTTCTATTGGGAAATTTGAGGGTAAAATGCATATATAGAGGTTCTAGACTTAGGCAAAATGACATAGTATTATGCTAGATTAATTAGGCAAAGACCCAACTAACCTTGAAACTTAACTGCCAGCTCTGACCCACGGCCACTGCCGATGGACCGTGGCCAGGAAAATGGGCCGTCCTACACGGCCGTCGATGGTGGTCAGAAACATGAATCTTAGCTAGTGAACCATAGACCCTGAACGCGGACTATGGTTTGGCCTATGGTTCGTAGGTTAGGCCGTGGGTCGTAGCCTCTATTGACTTGGCAGGGTGGCCAGTCCATGGACCACACTACGGTTCGTGGTCCTACCCATGGGCGGTGGTTGGCCTCTGTGGCTGGCACCTGCAACTTCCCAAACGTTGTTTCATTTCCTTTTTCGGATACACGGTTTTACACTAAGCTTGACACGAGTACTAAGGCCTTTTTGGAAAGACTTCTAAAATTGAGAAGTAAATTAGGTACCACGATCGAAGATAATGGATAGGGGCACTCCATGAAACCTAACCATCTCCCTTAGATACAACTTAGCATAATCTTCTGTTGAATAAGAAACCGTGACGGTAATGAAATAATCCAATTTTTCATACAATCTACTACAACCCAAATCGAGTCATGTTGCCGCCGGGTACGGGGTAAACCAATAATAAAGTCCATATTCAAATCTTCCACTTTCAAGTAGGAATGCTAATATCTTGGGACAAACCTCCTGGTTTTTTACTCTCAACTTTGACTTGTTTACAATTAGGACACTTAGCCACAAATTCCGATCTCTAAACCCTCTAAGAACACTGTGGTTGATGGATCCCTAATACATTTATTCAACATTGAAACATGAAACACTGGATGCACCAACGCCAACTCATTTGGCAAATCTAACTCATATGCAACCTTGCTAGCACGCCTCAAAATCTCATAAGGATCCACAAACCGGGGACTAAGTTTCCCCTTCTTCCCAAATCTCATAACACCCTTCATGGGTGAGATTTTCAAATAAACCCAATCATGCACATCGAATTCAAGGTCTCTCCTTCTAACATCGACATAAGACTTCTGCCGACTTTGGGCCGTCCTCAACCTCTCTCTAATAACCCGAATCTTCTCAACAGCCTCATGCACCATGACCTTGGTACCTAGCCCCTTTTGGAAAGACTTCCAAAATTGTGAAGTAAATTGGGGACCTCGATCCAAAATTATAGACAAGGGTACTCCATGTAACCTTACTATCTCCCTCACATACAATTTAGCATACTCTTCCGCTGAGTAGGACACCTTGACGTGAATGAAATGGGCGAACTTAGTCATTCGGTCCACTATTACCTATATCGAGTCGTGTTGCCGCCGAGTACGTGGCTAGCCTACAATGAAATCCATGTTCACGTAGGTCACGATACATCTTGGTGGCTCCCGGGTGAATAGAATACTGAAAACTATGGACTTCTTCTAAAATTTGCTCTCTCAAGCCGTCAACATTTGGAACACATAACCTACCTTGATACCCTAGCACCCCATCTCCCCCTTGGGAGAAAGCCTCTATGGACTTTTTGAGTACTGACTCTTTCAGCTCAACCAAGATAGGATCTAGACTTTGCTTAGCCTTCGCATCCATCACAAAGGACAATTCAGAACCATTATGAACCATGACACCACCTTTGGTGAAATCCACTAGTTGAACACGTAGTCAGGCCAACCTATGCACATCACGAACCAACTCTTTCTTTTCATCCTCTATATGAGCCACACTACCCATCGACAACCGACTAAGAGCATCCTCTACCACATTAGCTTTGTCGGGGTGATAAAGGACACTCATGTCATAATCCATCAATAATTCCAACCACCTTCATTGACGAAGATTCAAGTCCTTTTGACTAAACACATATTGAAGACTCTTGTGATCGGTGAAAACATCAACATGGACCCCATACAAATAATGCCTCCATATCTTTAAGGCAAAAACCATTGCCGCTAACTCAAGATCATAGGTAGGATAATTCTTCTCATGGACTTTAAGTTGCCTTAAAGCATAGGCAATTACCTTACCATTTTGCATAAGCACACATCCCAACCCAACTCTAAAGGCATCACAATACACCACAAAACCATACGTACCTTCCGGTAAGGTCAACACTGGAGCGAAAGTAAGTCTATCTTTCAACTCTTGGAAACTTTTCTCACAAGCTTCCAACCACACAAATTTAGCCTTCTTTTGAGTCAAAGCCATTAAAGGAGAAGCAATTGAGGAAAACCCCTCAACAAACCTCCTATAGTAACCGGCCAAACCCAAAAATCTTCTAATGTCGGAAGGAGTTAAAGGTCTAGGCCAACTCTTGACCGCATTCGTCTTCTTAAGATCTACCTCAATACCCTTGCTAGACACAATATGACCAAGGAAAGCTATGGATCTCAACCAAAATTCACACTTGCTAAACTTTGTGAAAAGTTGATGGTCCTTAAGAACTTTCAACACAATTCTCAAATGGTCCATATGTTCATTCTCACTCCTTGAATAGATCAAAATATCATCGATAAACACAATCACAAACATGTCTAGGTATT